AGCAGCAGCAGCAGCAGCAGCAGCAGCAGCAGCAGCAGCAGCAGCAGCAGCAGCAGCAGCAACAGCAGCGATATTTTCTATATAGAGATTAAATACAAATAATTATATTTTTATTTTTGTTACGTCATTTATATTTATAGCAGAAGACGTTCAATAAACACTCTAAACAGCTGCTGTTGCTGCTGCTGCTGCTGCTGCTGCTGCTCCTGCTGCTGCTCCTGCTGCTGCTGCTGCGCAGCAGCAGCAGCAGCAGCAAACGCCAACGCCTGTAAGGGGCCCCCCCGGGGGGCCCCCGGGGCATTTGCCTTGGAGAGGAAACGAAAGCAAAAGGAGAAACACCAAAATACTTAGGGTTTAGGGTTTAGGGTTTAGAGTTTAGGGTTTAGGGTTTAGGGTTTAGGGTTTAGGGAAAGGAGCACAGCAGCACATGGGCATAGGGGGGCGGCTCCCGCACCTGCTCGGACTTTGGACGTTGCTGCTGCAGCAGCTGCAGCAGCAGCAGCAGCAGCAATACAGCAGCAGCAGCAGCAGCAACACAGCAGCAGCAGCAACAGCAACGCTGCGGCAGCAACACAGCAGCAGCAACACGGGAGACCCGCCGACTGCAGCAGCAGCAAGACAGCAGAAGACATAGCAGCAGCAGCAGCAACTGCAGCAGCAGTAGCAACAGAAGCAGAAGCAGCAGCAACACTAGCAGCAACAGCAGCAGCAACAACAGCAGCGGCAGCAATAGCAACTGCAGCAGCAGCAGCAGCAGCAACAGGAGTAGCAACAATAGCAGCAGCAGGAACAGCAGCAGCAGCAACAGCAACAGCAGCAGCAACAAGAGAAGCAGAAGCAGCAGCAGCAGCAGAAATAGCAGCAGCAGCAGCAGCAACAGCAGCAGCAGCAGCAGCAGCAACAGCAGCAGCAGCAGCAGCAAAGATGGCGGTGCGGAACGCTAGTGTCCCTCAGCTGCTGCAGCAGATGAGTGATATTGATTTGGTAGGCACAGACAGCTGCTGCTGCTGCTGCTGCTGCTGCTGTTGCTGCTGTTGCTGCTGTTCTCGTTGCTGTTGTTTGTGTTGTTGCTGCTGCTGCTGCTGGTGCTGGTGCTGCTGTTGTTTCTGCTGCTGTATCTGTTGCTGTTGCAGCTATTTTACTGCTGCTGTTGCTGCTGCTGCTAGACCTTCGCATCCCCCTGCACTTGCCAGCAGCAGCAGCAGCAGCAGCAGCAGCAGCAGCAACGGCAGCAGCAGCAGCAGCAGCAACAGCAGCAACTGCAGCAACAGCAGCAGCAGAACAGTCAGCATCTGGTTTTCAGACGGCTGTGACACCGAAGCAGCAACACCCTAGGGTTTAGGGTTTAGGGTTTAGGGTTTAGGGTTTAGGGTTTATGCTGCGCAGGACAAACGGGTTATGGCGGCTTCGGATTTAACAGAGGCAATCCTCAGCAGCCCACAGGTGAGGGTTTAGGGTTTAGGGTTTAGGGTTTAGGGTTTAGGGTTTAGGGTTTAGGGCTTAGGGTTTAGGGTTTNAGGGTTTAGGGTTTAGGGTTTAGGGTTTAGGGTTTAGGGTTTAGGGCTTAGGGTTTAGGGTTTAGGGTTTGGTTCGAAGGTTGAAGGATGGAGGGTTTAGATGATGAGCGTTGGCTGTATACACGTTTTAGGGTTTAGGGTTTAGGGTTTAGGGTTTAGGGTTTAGGGTTTAGGGTTTGTGTTTTTCAGGGTTTGGGGGCGGCTTGGGAGAGCCGCGCTGCTTCTGCTCTGCTGCAGCAGCTCGAAGACACTTCTGTTGATGTGCAGGCGAACGCGGTGAGGGTTTAGGGTTTAGGGTTTAGGGTTTTTAGGGTTTCTAGGGTTTTTAGGGGTTTTAGGGTTTTTAGGGTTTTTAGGGTTTAGGGTTTGTGTATGATGTGAACTCTAAACCCTTCAGAACACTGCTGGGCTGATGGTTTATATTTGTAGTCGAAATTCTAGGGTTTAGGGTTTAGGGTTTAGGGTTTGCGTCTTTTATTGAATTCTTTTTCTTCTTCTGCTCGGCAAAATGTTTAGGGTTTAGGGTCTAGGGT